GCTTTTCAGTAACCAGTAGGTCTTTTGCTCTTAATCACATCCTTTTTGATTCCAGAGTTAATATCCTTGCACACAACTGGATGTAGACTTTCCTCAAAACCTTGCAGTGGCTTTCAGCAGCTCCTGATAATGAGCAGTCTTTAGTATAGAACTCAAGACTCTGACAACCTGCCCCACTCTGCATTTTTTTCTCCTTTCACTCTATGCTGCTGCTACCTTGGACTTCCTGTCGTTCATTCTTTTTTTTTTTTTTTTTTTTTTAATTTTTGAGACAGGGTCTTACTCTGTTGCCCAGGCTGAGTGTGCCATCATGGCTTACTGCAGCCTTGACCTCTTGGGCTCAATGGATCCTCTCATTGCAGCCTCTTGAGTACCTTGCACTACAGGTGGCACCAACCATACCCAGCTGATTTTTGTATCTTTTGTAGAGACAGGGTCCCGCTATGTTGCCCAGGCTGGTCTTGAACTCCTAGGCTCAAGCAATCCTCCTGCCTCAGCCTCCCAAAGTGCTGGGATTACAGCTGTGAACCACCACGGCCAGCCTCCTGTCTTACTGAATAAACCATGCTCCCTCTCTCTGCAGTGTCCTTTCTCTGAACCAAACACTATTTTTCACTGTTTTGGTTTATAAGCCCCTTCTGTGAAAGCTTCCCTTATCCGTTTCTTTCATTGAACAAATACATATTGAGCCCCTATTATCTAGGCACTCTTTTAAAATACACATCAATGAACAAAATGAAGATCTTTGCCCTCAATGAGTTTGTTCTTTCAAAATCAGTTTTCTTCCTTTACTGCCCCTTTGCAAACCCTTTCCGAGACGAGCACAGTATTCCATTTTGCCTTAGAGTGTGTCCACTCACAGATAACTGAGGATCCTCCCTGTGCAGAATTCTACAGAGCGGGGTACAAGGATAAATCTTGCTCTTGGACTTACAGGCTGCTAAGGGGATAAAAGATAGAATAGTAATGTCTTCAGATAAGTGAGGGGAAAAGGCTATAAGGATTCAGAGAACAATGATTTTAGATCTGAGACATTGGGGAAGGCTTTGTGATGGGTCGTATTTCCTTTTAGGGATGGGAGGAAGGACATTCTAAATGGAGGCGACATGACCAAGTCAGGAGACATGATAGGGCAGGTACAGAAGAGGAGTTCATCCAATTTGGGGAGGGTGGGGTTTGAGAAGAGAGCAATGAGTGTTAGGATTGGGCCAGGCTTCAAGGAGTCTGGATTTTACTGAGTTAGTAATGGGGAGCTGAAGAACTTTGAGCAAAAGAGTAATCTGCTTCTAGGTGTGATTTGGGAACACTAATAAGAATTACACTGTAATTTTTTGGGGGGTTGGGGCGTGGGGTATGTTAAAAGGTTTCGAGTGAGACCAAGGAAGAGCCAGTGAGGACCTACCTGACTGACAGGGTGCAGCTGCAGTGGGAAGGAAGCAACGGACAAGACCAAGACCAAGAAACAGTCACAGGACGTGACGTGCAAAGGAGGGACCATGTGTGAATCCTGTCAGCCTCCACAGCTCTCAGCACAGGTGCTTGGCACACAGGTGCTCAGCAAACGTTTGTTGAATGTGCAAGTACAATAGGAAGCTCAGAGTTGTCTGAAATAGGGAAGGCTTCTATGGAGGAAGGGGAAGGGGAACTTGGTTATACTTCTGGTCTCCCTATACTAATGCTTCCATTCCTAACTTTTTTTTTTTTTTGAGACAGGGTTTGTCTCCCAAGCTGGAATATAGTGGCATGATCTCTGCTCACTGCAACCTCTGCCTCCCAGGTTCAAGTGATTCTTCTGCATCAGCCTCCCTAGTAGCTGGGATTACAGGCACATGCCATCACACCTGGCTAATTTTTTGTATTTTTAGTAGAGACAAGGTTTCACCATGTTCACCAGGCTGGTCTTGAACCCCTGGTCTCAAGAGATCTACCTGCCTCGGCCTCCCATAGTGCTGGGATTACAGGTGTGAGCCACTGTGCCTGGCCCCTAACATCTTTTTAATTCTGTGTGGGTCCTCCTCCTAATCTAAATTACATTCCTGGATTGCAGGATGAGGGGCCACAGAAATTCTGTCTCTGACCTGCCCATCTCTTGGCTGAGGATGTTCTGGTGGTGACAGTGGCACTTGAGTGTGCTGACCTCCTGTTGAGTGATGCTAGGTGTTACTTTGGTGGCCCCCAAACTGTGAGAACCCCATCTGCAGCCGAGGCTGATGACTGGCTGTTTCAGAGTGACTTGCACCTTGGTGGAGTCCCACTTGTTACTCCACGGGCTGGGGCGCCACTGGATGTTGTCAGTTCATCCAGAGATATTCAGGTCCTGGAAATCTGATCCCCCAAAAAGTAAACTCGTGGAGACAGATTAATAATTAAAGATGAATGTAGGCTGGGTGCAGTGGCTCATGCCTGTAATCCCAGCACTTTGGGAAGCCAAGGTGGGTGGATAGCCTGAGATCAGGAGTTTGAGAACAGCCTGGCCCGGCCAACATGGTGAAACCCCATTTCTACTAAAACTACAAAAAATTAGCTGGGCATGGTGGCAGGAGTCTGTAATCCTAACTACCAAGGAGTCTGAGGCATGAGAATCATTTGAACCGGGAAGCAGAGGTTACAGTGATCTGAGATCATGCCATTGCACTCCAGTCTGGGAAACGAGCAAAACTCTGTCTCAAAAAAAAAAAAAAAAAAAAAGTTATTTTATTTTATGTCAGAGCTACAGCTGGCTTGACACCCTGGCTGATCTGCTCAGAAACCACATTATGGTGCAAAGTGTTTGATTGCTTATTAAATATATTTATAAAATCTGAGCATGGGAAGGGGAGGTAGCTGTGGGACCCTGATAAACAGTGCCAAGGTTCTCCAACTGTGATCACCAGACCAACAGAACCAGCATTACTTGGGAACTAGTTAGAATTGCAGATTCATGTCACTATCATTCCCTTCTGCTTTGGACCTAGAAATGTTGAGGTTTGTGCCTAGCATTCTATATCTTAACAGCACCCTAGGTGAACATGGTGCACACTCAAATTTGAGTACCACTGACTTTTTAGAAACTTTTTTCTAAAAAATGAAGACCAGCTGTGAAACATTATAGCACTCTTCCCCGAACAGAGCTCACTAAATCCTAGCATTTTCTGCTCCAGTCCATTTTCCTGATCCTTTTCTTTTCTTATTTATTTATTTATTTTTTTTGAGATGGGGTTTTGCTCTTGTTGCCCAGGCTGGAGTGCAGTGGTGCAATCTTGGCTCACTGCAACCTTTGCCTCCTGGGTTCAAACGATTCTCCTGTCTCAGCTTCCGAGTAGCTCACCACCGTACTCAGCTAATTTTTTGTATTTTTAGTAGAAACGGGGTTTCATCATGTTGGCCAGGCTGGTCTTGAACTGCTGACCTCAGGTGATCCATCTGCCTCAGCCTCCCAAAGTGCTGGGAGTACAGGCCTGAGTCACTGCACCCAGCTTGTTTTCCTGACCCTTTCTGTTTGCATTGGACCTTAACTGTTATTTTATATTCCTTAATAGATTGGGCTGATCCCCGATGAGATCCTAGATGCTCTTAATGTCTTTAGTGCATATTTGCAGTTTGTGGCTTAGGTTGGGATATTTCTTCTTTTTTCTTTTTTTAATGAGACCCACTATCACTCTGTCGCCCGGGCTGGAGTGCAGTTGTGCGATCTGGGCGCACTACAGCCTCCACCTCCGGGGTTCAAGCGATTTTCTTGCCTCATCTCCCGAATAGCTGAGATCACAGGCGCGTGCCACCACACCCAGCTAATTTTTGTATTTTTAGTAGAGTAGAGACGGGGTTTCACCGTGTTGGCCAGGATAGTCTCGATCTCCTGACCTCGTGATCCACCCGTCTCCACCTTCCAATGTACTGGGATTACAGGTGTGAGCCACCGCGCCCGGCCAGGTTGGGATATTTCAACAAGAATTTCCAAAATGAATAATGCCAAATATTGATTTGATTTCTTTGTTACCTTAAAGTAACACGTCCTAACCTTTCCCCAAATTCTACGGGTGCACCTCACTTAGGGTCTGAGTTTGTCTTTTTTCTATGATAGCCGACCACACTTTTGCTTGGCTCAAATATTTGTGAAAATAATTTCTCATCCCCCTAAAAAAGAAAAAGCTAAAACAAGAACAAACCCAAACGCAGAAAGAACAAAATTACAGAGTTCTAGCGGGAAGAGTTTGCCAGCTTGTTGGACAAAGACTGCGAGATGATTGGGAAATGCAGAAAAGACAAAGTAAAGCTTCAACTGCATTCAGCACATTTAGTTGAATATGCCTCAGCACAAGCCGAGGAAAACGGGCCCTGTGGTTATTCAGGACGCCTCAGGGCCTCAATGAGGGAAAGACGCACACTTGCCGGATCCGCAGCCTGGACCAAAGCTACGGTAGGGTCCTCGTGGGTGGTGGAGGGCTTTCGTGGGTGGGCCCCGGGGAGGAGGAAGGGACCCCAGAGCCCCCAGGACGGGAGGCCAGGCTTAGGAAAAAAAATGCTACAAGCTTCACGTTTGTTCTGTAAAACTTTCTAAAGAGAGTTTAAAACGTTCATTTAAGTTTGCCCGGCTTCTCCCTGAATACCCATGTACCCTTTTTCTTTCCCCGACTCAGTTCTGTGGTGCGTGGGAGGCGCTGCAGCAGGAGGCCCCGGCCAGGGCCGCCCCCTTGCCCACGCAGCTTGCCCACGCAGCTTTCCCTCGCCAGGTTTCGCGCTTTCCCGCGCGGCTCCTTCCCCCAGCCCTCGCGGCTCCCGCGTGGGACGCGGAGAGGGGTTGGGCGCCGCGCCGGCCCCGGAGTGGCTTCCGCCTGATGGAGCCCTGCTGGAGGCCGCGGCACGCCCGACGCGGGCGAAGGTGGGCTGCCGCACCTGGGGCCCGGACGCCGCGGGCGCGGAAGGCCTCGGGCGGGCGCTCTAGGCCGCGGGCTGCGGTCCTACGGGCTGCAGGGGGCGCTGTGCGCGTCCTCGGGCACAGCCGCCGAGCGCAGCTCTTTTTTAAAGGGCCAGCGGGGCATGTGTTTTGTCGCGGCCGCCAGGCAGGAGCTCCCACCCTCGGCGGCTCCCGCTCCGCTTCTGCCGTCGCCGCCGCGCCGTCCCGGGCCCGACAGGCCGGGTCCAGGTGCTGCAGCCCCGCGAGGGACGTAGGCAGCCATGGCCGAAACGGCGCCCGCCCTGGTAAGCGCCCTTGGCCAGGCGGACTCCAGGACGGCCCAGGCTGCCGCCGCGTGAGCCCGCGCGAGGGACTCTGGCCGCGCGCGGCCGCCTGGCGAAAGGGTCCTGCCCGCAGTCTCCACGCTCGCCGCCGCCGGCCCATCGCCCGACCCGCGTCAGGGCTCGAGGTCTGCCTGCCGCCTGCCTGCCGGCCTCCGATGGCATTGACCGGGCGGCCCAAACGCCAGGCCCGGCGGGCGAGGCCCCGACGTCAGCGGCGGAGGACACGGTCGGTCCCTCTGCGGCCTGTGCCAGGCCCGGCGCCAGAGTCACGCTCGGCGACGAGGAGGCCGCGCCTCCGATGCGTTGTCGCATTTGCGGCCCCGCGGTTCCCCCACGGCAGGCAGGGCGGGCAGGGGCCGTCGGCCCCACCGGACATTCGCGGAGGCTGAGATGGGAAGGGACTAGCCCAGGGTCACGCATCTAGCAGAGGCCGGAGCCTCACGCCGGGGCAGGGACTTTGCAATCAGACCACTTTGAAACGCCTTATATTCTACTTTTACCTAAGAGAAACATATTAAGTGTTGTTTACAAGAGAGATTACGGATTTTAAAAAAATTACCGGAACAGATTTTATTTTAAAATTTCATTTTGTTTTATTTTTTGAGAGTCTTGCTCTGTCGCCCAGGCTGGAGTGCAGTGGCATGATCTCGGCTCACTGCACCCTCCGCCTCCCGGTTTCAAGCGACTGTCCTGCCTCAGCCTCCCAAGTAGCTGGGACTACAGGTGCCCACCACCACACCTGGCTAATTTTTGTATTTTTAGTAGAGATGGGGTTTCATTATGTTAGCCAGGCTGGTCTCGAACTCCTGACCTTGTGATCTGCCTGCCTTGGCCTCGCAAAAGGTGTGAGCCACCGTGTTCGGCCATGTTAAAATTAAAAAATTATATATATATATATATATATATATATATATATATATATATACCATATATATTTTTTAAGACAAGGTCTCAGTCTGTCACCCAGGCTGGAGGTGCAGTGGTATGATCTCCGCTTACTGCAACCTCTGCCTCCCAGGTTCAAGTGATTCTCTTGCCTCAGACTCCCAAGTAGCTGGGGTTATGGGTGTGGGTTCCTGACTACTTTACATATAAATATATACATACACACACACACACACATATAATTTTTTTTTTTAGTGTAGATGGGGTTTCAGCATGTTGGCCAGGCTGGTCTTGAACTCCTGCCTCGGCCTCCCAAAGTGCTGGGATTACAGGCATGAGTCACCAAGAATGGCTTGTTTTGTTTTTTATTTGTGCCATGTTGTTCAGGCAGGTCTTGAACTCCTGGGCTCAAGCGAACTTTTTGCTCCGGCTCCCAAAGTGCTGGGATTACAAGGGTGAGCCACCGAGCTAGGCCAGTTTAGCAGATTTTAGAATGTTGGCTTGATATTGTGCAGTACGTCCAATTGGGAGAATATAGTCCTTTAGGTATTTTTGACGTATTGGAAAAACGTATATAAAGAGCTCAATAGATCACCTACAATTATTAATACACCTCACTGAAGGTTTTGAAACCGTGATTTTTCTGGATGCTTTTATTAAAGTAGAACTTCCTCTCCCTCCTCTTTAGTTAGTGAGTGTGGTGAACATCTTTTTGGGTTCCCTGAGTGTAAGGGAGAGAAAAAGGGTTGGGGATTCTGGAGGTTTATAGCCCTGTTCCCTGGGAAGAGGGGGCCCTGGAAGGTGTATCAGCCAGTCCGCCTAGCCTGGGTCTCGCTGCTTTACTACCTTTCTGATCATTTCTGTCCACCTGCTCCTTTCCTGAGCCTTGCAGCATTTGAGATCCAAGAAACTCCCCAAAAGGGACAGATTTGCTCTGGACTCGTTAGCCCATCCTATCACACTGTTATTTGTAAGTATTCCTATACAGAATTTTTCTCCTGGAGAAGGAAGAACCACATCAGTTTTTTTCTGCATCTTCATTGTACATTTACTATGATAGGTGTTCAGTAATTGTTATTGAATGAATGAAGTGATTGTAGATTATTAGTGCTAAGAAGGAAGAGCAGTGAAAGCCTCTAGGATGCAGTGTCTAAGCTAGAATTTTAAAGACGAATTAAAGATGAGAAGTACTCAGACATGCAGAGGATGCATAGCGAGAGCTGATGTGAAGGTGGAGGAGGGGCATGTGGGCCCTCAGAATCCACAGGAGGCCGGCATGGCTGGAGCCTGGCATGAACTGGATGACTCTAAGGTCAAGAGAGGTCAGCTGGGCCATGAAGAAGTCTAGATGAAATGATATATGTGTGTGTGTGTGTGTGTGTGTGAGTGTGAAAGTCTCGCACCATGGCCCAGGCTGGAGTGCAGTGGTGCGATCTTGGCTCACTGCAACCTCCGCCTCCTGTGTTCAAGTGATTCTCCTGCCTCAGCTTCCTGAGTAGCTGAGATTACAGGCATGTACCATCACGCCTGGCTAATTTTTTGTATTTTTAGTAGAGAGGGGTGTCACCATGCTGGCTAGGCTGTTCTCGAACTGTGGACCTCATGATCTGCCTGCCTCAGCCTCCCAAAGTGCTAGGATTACAAGCATGAACCACCGTGCCTGGCTGTCATCATTGTTGTCTGAGTCTGCTCAGGCTGCCTTACTTAGTTCCTGGCAAGGGCACTTGTCCTGGTTTGCAGATGGCTGCCTTCTCATCGTATCCCCACATGGCAGACAACAAGATCATCTCCCTTCTGTCTCTTCTTACAAGGCCACTCATCCTATTTATGAGGGCTCTACCTTCATGGCCTAATTGCCTCCTAGGTGCTCCACCCCCAAATACCAGCATACTGGGGATTAATGCTTTAGCGGGTGGATATTGAGGAAGACACAAACATTCATTCCATAACAATAATCATCGTCATCTTAGCCCTTCAACATGGGGCTCACGTTTGTTATTCACAGCGTGGTACACATTGTACTAAGTGTGCTGTACCCTAGAAGGGGAGTCAGTTGTTTGAGACTTGCGCAAGACTGTGGGGCATGCCCCATCCCCAAAGCTAGTATATAGGACAGGGGCGGGCTGTGTTTCCTCCAGTTTCCCACTTGCTGACACGCTGGTCCAGCCACGATCACTTGTATCACTTAGGCTGGATTCCTAACTGATACCCTAGCCTCTTCATCTACCCCCAGTCTGCTGCTAACTCAGCTTTACCATGGCAGGTGCCATTTCTGAAGTTTCTTTTTGAGATGGAAGTTTTGATTGTATGATTCTCATAACATCTCTTTTTTCTTGTGAGCAGGCCCCTGCGAAAGGCAAGCACACAGAGGACCAGAGGCCTTCGACACCTCCCTTACCCCAGCCAGCTGCTGAGAAGAACTCGTACCTCTACTCCACGGAGATCACACTGTGGACAGTGGTGGCTGCCATTCAGGCCTTGGAGAAGAAGGTGGATTCCTGCCTGGCCCGCTTGCTGACTCTGGAGGGACGCACGGGGACAGCCGAGAAGAAGCTGGCAGACTGCGAGAAGACAGCCGTGGAGTTCGGGAACCAGCTGGAGGGCAAGTGGGCCGTGCTGGGGACGCTGCTGCAGGAGTACGGGCTGCTGCAGAGGCGGCTGGAGAACGTGGAGAACCTGCTGCGCAACAGGAACTTCTGGATCCTGCGGCTGCCCCCGGGCAGCAAGGGGGAGGCCCCCAAGGTAGCCCTGGGACGCCCTGGGGTGTGGGAGCCTGAGGGGCTGAGCCTGTGAGTGAGTGAATGTGACACTTGTGGTTTCAGGTGCCCGTGACCTTTGATGATGTGGCCGTGTATTTCTCCGAGCAGGAGTGGGGCAAGCTGGAGGACTGGCAGAAGGAGCTCTACAAGCATGTGATGAGGGGCAACTACGAGACGCTGGTCTCCCTGGGTAAGGCTGCAGAGGGAGGCTCTGGGCCCCTGTGCACAGGTTGTGTGTGGACAGTCTGTGTCTTCACTTTGGTTTTTGGTACTTGGGCCATCTCTGCATCTCTCTAGGCATCTGGGATCCAGCTCTTCTGCATTTCTTTTTCTGTGCACAGATTATGCCATCTCCAAACCGGACATCCTCACCCGGATAGAGAGGGGAGAGGAGCCTTGTCTTAACCAGTGGGGCCAGGAGAAGGGGAGTGAAGTAGAAGTGGCACATTCAAGGATGTCGGGCACTGGTGAGTATAGGAGCAAGAAGTGGTGGGATGCCAGAGGCCAGCTACACCACGGCCCATCCCCTCGGGCTTCCCAGACAAACACGGAGGCCAAGAAGGGAGCATAGGCCGTTAACCGAAAGTGGGGCCACTCTGTACCAGGCCACCCTGGGCAGGAGTGGCTGGCAGGCTGAGAGCCATAGTGTTTCTACATACGTCTGAGGTGGACCACTCACTTTACATGGTTGTGTTGACTGAGTGACAAATGATAAGCATGTAACACTGATCACTTTATCATAGTGGGGTCTTCGTAATAATAATACCTCCACCAGCAGCATGGCTGCCTCCTGGCATCTTCAGGTGTGTCTGTGTCCCCGATATTGCTTGTGCCCCCCATTGCAGTCCCACAGCCCTAGCCTGCAGTAGGAAGGCCTGTCATGTGCTTCTTCCATTTGCCTACATGGGCCCTCAGTAGGAGCGCCAGGCATGCCCTGTCCTTGTAGCTGCTGTATAGGACAGTGGTTCCAAAGGACTGCACACCATAATCCTCTGGGGGGCTTTTTTTTTTTTTGCAATTAAATTTAAAAAAATAAAGTAGAATAGTACAGTGAATCTCCAAGTGATTGTCACCAGACCCAACACTGTTCTGGGTTTGCCACATTCGCTTCATCCATCTGTTTTTTCCCTTTTTCTAAACATGACCACAATACCATGATCATATCCGAGGAATAACAGAATGTCATTTAATACCTAGCCTTTGTTTTGTTTTCCCCAGTTGTCTCAAAAATGTTTTCTATAGGGCTTTGGATCCTAACTGTTATATACCCAAGTCCACATTCTACATATGTTTCTGAAGTCTTTTTTTTTTTTTTTTTTTTTTTTTTTTGAGACGGAGTTTCGCCCTTGTTACCCAGGCTGGAGTGCAATGGCGCGATCTCGGCTCACCGCAACCTCCGCCTCCTGGGCTCAGGCAATTCTCCTGCCTCAGCCTCCTGAGTAGCTGGGATTACAGGCACGCGCCAACATGCCCAGCTAATTTTTTGCACTTTTAGTAGAGACGGGGTTTCACCATGTTGACCAGGATGGTCTCGATCTCTCGACCTCGTGATCCACCCGCCTCGGCCTCCCAAAGTGCTGGGATTACAGGCTTGAGCCACCGCGCCTGGCTCTGAAGTCTTTAAAAAAGCTTGTGAAAAATCCCCTTACCCTTTTTCAACAGCTTTATTGAGATATAATTCATATACCATATAATTCACCTATTAAAGTGTGCAATTAAATACTTAAAAAAAATTTCAACTGTTATTTTGGATCCAGGCATACACGTGCGGGTTTGTCACATGGGTATATTGCACCAGGTAGTGAGCACAGTACCCAAGTTAGTTCTTCAGTCCATGCTCCCCGCTCTCCCTTCCCCCATAGTAGTCCACAGTGTCTATTTTTCCCAGGTCGATGTCAATGTGTGCTCATTGTTTAGGCCCTAGTTATAAGTGAGGACATGCAATATTTGGTTGTCTGTTCTTGCATTAGTTCACTTAGGATGATGGCCTCCAGCTTCATCCATGTTGCTGCAAAGAACACGATTTCATTCTTTTTTATGGCTATGTAGTATTCCATGGTATGTATGTACCACATTTTCTTTATTCAATCCATCATTGGTGGACATCCAGGTTGAGCCCATGTCTTTACCATTATGAATAGCATTGTGATAAACATATGTGTGCATGTATAGTTTGGTATAATGATCTATTTACCTTTGGGTATATACCCAGTAATAGGATTGCTGGGTCAAATGGTAGCTCTGTTGTAAGTCCTTTGAGAAATCTTCAAACTGCTTTCCACAGTGGCTGAACTCATTTACATTGCCGTCAACAGTGGCATTCCCTTTCTTCTGCAGCCTCGCCAGCATGTGATGGTTTTTAATAAGAGCCATTCTGACTGGTGTGAGATGGTATCTCATGGTTTTCATTTACATTTCTCTGATGATTAGTGAGGGTGAGCATTTTTTATGTTTGTTGGCCGCTTGCATGTCTTTTTTTGAGAAATGGCTGTTCATGTCCTTGGCCCGTTTTTTGCTTGTTGGTTTAAGTTCCTCATAGATGCTGGATGTTTGACCTTTGTCGGGTGCATAGTTTGCAAATATTTTCTCCCATTCTGTAGGTTGTCAGTTTACTCTGTTGATAGTTTCTTTTGCTGTGTAGAAGCTCTTTAGTTTAATTAGGTCCCACCAGTCAATATTTGTTTTTGTTGCAGTTGCTTTTGAGGGCTTAGCTAGAAATTCTCTGGCAAGGTTAATGTCAAGGAGAGTATTTCCTAGGTTTTATTCTAGAATTTTAAAAAAATAATTTATTTATTTTACTTTAGGTGCATACTGTATCTGGCATTTCTCCTCATGTTATCCCTCCCTTCCCTCCCCATCCCCATTGTCTCTCCTCTACCCCCACCAACTGTCCCCTGTGTGTGATGCTCCTCTCCCTGAGTCCATGTGTGCTCATTGTTCAACACCCACCTATGAGTGAGAACATACGGTGTTGGCTTTCTGTTTTGGGGTCAGTTTGCTGAGAATGATGGTTTCCAGATTCATCCAAGTCCCTACAAAGGACATGAACTCATCGTTTTTTATGGCTGCATAGTATTTCATAGTGTATATGTACCACATTTTCTTGGTCCAGTCTATCATTGATGGGCATTTGGGTTCATTCTAGGTCTCTGCTGTTGTACACAGGGCTGCAATGAACATACGTGTGCATGTGTCTTTATAGTAGAATGATTTATAGTTCTTTGGGTATATACCCAATAGTGGGATTGCTGGGTCAACTGGAATTTGAGGTCTTACATTTAAATCTTCAATCATTGTTGAGTTACTTTTTGTATATGGTGAAAGGTAAGGGTCTGGCTTCATTTCTCTGCACTTGTCTAGCCAGTTATCCCAACACCATTTATTGAATAGGGAGTCTTTTCCCCATTGCTCTTTTTTTTTTTTTTTTTTTTTTTGGTCAGTCTTGTCTAAGATCAGATGGTTCTAAGTGTGTGACTTTATTTCTGACTTTTCTATTCTGTTCTATTGGTCTATGCATCTGTTTTTGTACCGGCACCATGCTGTTTTGGTTAGTGCAGCCTTATAGTATAGTTTGAAGCTGGGTAGTGTTATACTTTTGGCTTCGTTCTTTTTGCTTAGGATTGCTCTGGTTCTTTTGGTTTCATGTGAATTTTAGAATTGTTTTTTCTTATTCTGTGAAGAATGATATGAATAGTTTCATAAGAATAGCATTGAGTCTATAAATTGCTTTGGGCAGTATGGCCATTTTAACAATATTGTTTCTTCCCATCCATGAGCATGGGATGTTTTAAAATTTATCTGTGTCATCTCCGATTTCTTTCAACAGTGTTTTATAGTTCTGCTTGTAGAGGTCTTTCATCTTTGTGGTTAGCTGTATTCCTGGGTATTTAATTTTTTTTTGTAGCTATTGTAAATGGGACTGTGTTCTTCATTAGATATTACTCTTGTATGGAAATGCTACTGATTTTTGTACACTAATTTTGTATCCTGAAACCTCACTAAAATTGATCATCAGTTCCAGTAGCCTTTTGACAGAGATTTTAGGGTTTTCTAGGTATAGAATCATTGTTAACAAGGAGAGATAATTTAACTTCTTTTCCTATTTGGATGCCTTTTATTTCTTTCTCTTGCTTTATTGCTGTGGCTAGGACTTCCTATAATTGAATGGTGTTTAGTATAGTCATAAAGTTGTGCAGCCGTCACTACAATGTAATTTTAGACCTTTCTTGTTCCATCAGAAAGAAACCCCATACCTATTAGTAGTCACTGTTGCCTGGGCGCGGTGGCTCAAGCCTGTAATCCCAGCACTTTGGGAGGCCGAGGCGGGTGGATCACAAGGTCGAGAGATCGAGACCAACCTGGTCAACATGGTGAAACCCCGTCTCTACTAAAAATACAAAAAATTAGCTGGGCATGGTGGTGCGTGCCTGTAATCCCAGCTACTCAGGAAGCTGAGACAGGAGAATTGCCCGAACCCAGGAGGCGGAGGTTGCGGTGAGCCGAGATCGCGCCATTGCACTCCAGCCTGGGTAACAAGAGCGAAACTCTGTCTCAAAAAAAAAACAAAAAACAAAACAAAACAAAAAAAAAAGTAGTCACTGTCTGTTCCTCTGCCCACCTGTTGCCCTGCCCTAGGCAGCCACTGATCAGCTTTCTGTGTCTATGCATTTACCCATCTGGAAACTCCATAAAAATGGAATCATACAATATGTGGCATTTGTGTCTGCCTTCTTTCACTGAGCATGTTTTCAAGGTTCATCCACATGTAGTATGTATGAGTACTTCATTCCTATTTGTGGCTGAGTGATATTCCATCATAAAGATACAGCACATATTGTTTATTCCTTTATCAGTTGATAAATTTCCCCCACCCCCAATTTATTTATTTATTTAGTTTTGAGACAGGGTCTCACTCTGTCACCCAGACTGGAATTCAGTGGCATGATCTCAGCTCACTGCAGCTTTGACCTCGTGGGCTCAAGTGATCCTTCCGTCTCAGCCTCCTGAGTAGCTGGAACGACAGGCACATGCCACCACCCTGGGCCAATTTTTTGTAGCAGCAGGGTTTTGCCATGTTGCCCAGGCTGGTCTTGAACTCTTCAGCTCAGGTGATCCTCCTGTGTTGGCCTGGATGACTCCCCCTTTAATACCATCTACTTCTTGACATTTCATTGTTATTTTTAATGCCCACAGTTTAGATATGGCATTATTTAACATGTTCTTTTACTTCCTGCACTTCCTATAAACTGGTAGGTAAATCTAGAGGCTTATTTAACTTTAGGTTCAATTTCTTTCGCAAGACTACGTTAGAGGTAGTGCTGTGTGCACCTTCCTGTGTCACATCAGAAGGCACAGAGGTCTGGTTGTCTCTCTTTTTGTGATCATCAGTCTTTTTTTCTTTCTTTCTTTTTTTTGAGTTGGCATTTCACTCTTGTTGCCTAGGCTGGAGTCCACTGGCGCCATCTTG